TAATTGTCACAATATATACTCACTCCCCCGACCCTAGTAAACAATACGCCATTTTACGCAAAATCCGCGGGTCACGTGACCAGCCCATACCAGGGTATTTCGCTTCCCAAGAGCAAATACCCTGGGTACGAGGTTGGTCTTATTTATCAGGTCTTACCGGCGTTGTTTTCTGAGCTATACCGCCTTCGTCATGGTACGATAAAGATTTCGTTATTGCTGTTGTTATCCCGTTAGAAATTGTATATCCGCGTCCAGCAAGTTGAGACCTTGGCTTGAGAAAGTTTGGCAGTCAAGCCGTTTGTTTAGATCCCTCGTTCAATGATGAAACAAACGATTTTAGCGTATTTTCTTGACGCACTTTAATTCCTATTGCGGAAAGTAGATCGCAGAGAACAAAATTATTTGCATATATTTTAATATACTGTGAAATAGTACCGTGTTAGTTAAATAAAGTAGAAGTTGAATTCAGTCCTTCCACTGTTGCACAGAACAGACTAAATCTTTGTTTGCTCTGGTTAAATTAAATGGAGAAACTGAACTCTTAAAAGTACCTTGGATTTTTAAGTTTAAAATGCACACTCTGCGGACATGTTCATGAGAATATATAACATGTAATGAAATTAATAAATATCTTTATATTTTCCCTCTGATATTTTTCGTGCAATGAAATCCATAACACAGTCACATTGTCAGTCATATTGTATGATTGTGTCTAAAAATAACATGTGGGCGTCCCACCGTTTAGATAGGTTTTATGTCAGGCCCTATTTCAAATTAGGGCCTGAACTTCAGGTTAGGGCAGCAGGGGCAACCGCCAAGAAAATTTAACTAATTACCTCCGCCAGGAGGTTATGTAATCATTACCTCCGCCAGGAGGTTATGTAATCATCTGGGTTTCTATGTGTGTGTGTATGTATATGTGTGTGTGTGTGTGTGTGTATATGTGTGTGTTTGTCTGTGAGCACGATAACTCAAGAAATACCAAACATATCCGTACGAAATTTTGTGAGTGCATTTCCCATCGGCTAAGGAAGAACTGATTAAAATTTGGTT